CAGCCCCAGTGCCCCCCAGTGCCCCCAGTACAGCCCCAGTGCCCCCCCGTGCTCCCAGTACAGTCCCAGTGCCCCCAGTACAGCCCCAGTGCCCCCCAGTGCCCCCAGCACTCACGGTCTCCGTGTACTGGTACGCGATGAACTTGCGCATGAGGGCGACGGCCGTGGCTCGTTCCTCCCCAATCTGGGGGGTCAGAGAGGGGGTTTGGGGGGAGAAAGGGAGAGTATGGGAGGGAAATGGGGGTTTAGGGGGAAAAAGGGTTTAAGGTGGGGGCAGAAAGGGGGTTTGGGGCACAAACCGGGAGGTTTGGGCACAGAAAGGGGGTTTGGGGGCAGAAAAAAGGGGATTTGGGCAGAAAAAGGGGGGTTTTGGGGTGGGGGCTCAGCACCCACCTTGCACTTGACAGTCCAGAGATTGGGGTCCCTGTGAGGGGGCAATGAAAGCTCATTATGATGTGAAGTTTGACCCTATTTCCCCTTCTTCTCTCTAATTAATACTTACTATGACCCAATCCCCCCTTTCTTACCCCTGTTAACCCTCATTAAAAGGGGATCTGACCCAATTCTCTCCTTTCTCCCCCAATTAAACCCCTTTCATGCCCCAATTCCCCCCTTTCTGCCCCCAAACTCACTTGACCCCGGGCAGCAGCTGCTGTTGGGTGATGTCGTCCGACAGCTCATCCGAGCCCCCATAAACCCTGGAAAACAGGGGAAAACCCCCCCAAATCAGGCAAATCGGGGCTGGGGGGGTCAGGGGGCCCCTCCCTGTCACGACAACTGGGGGGGTCCCAGAGGGGTCCCTGGGGGGGTCACTCACGTCTCCCCCACCGAGGACTTGGCGTATTTCTTCATGTAATACTCGCCCAGCTCCTCCTCCCGCTGGTCCCTGGGGGAAAAAACAGGGAAAATTAGGAAAAAAGAGAGAAAAAGAGAGAAAGATGGGGCTGTGGGGGTCAGGGGGACTTTGGGGGGGGTCCTGGGGGGGTCCAAAGTCACCTCCAGAGGTTCTGGAGCCGCCGGGCCCCAGAACGATCCTCGTCCAGCACCACGTTGTCGATGTTGGAGGCTGAGGAAGAGGAGGGGGAGGAAGGTCGGGATTGGGACCCCCCCGTGAGGGGTTGGGGGGGCATTGGGGGGTGTTTGGGCCCCCGTATTTGTGGGGGGGACACACGGAGGGAGAGGTGAGGGGGGATCTTACCTTCGATCTCCTCTGCCCCGGGGACAAAGTGACGGTGGAGAATGAAGTAAATAAACAGCAAAACCAGGTGAGGGGGGGAAACGGGGGGAAATTGGGGTGGGGGGGCGAGGGGGGGTCAGAATTGATGGGGGGCGTCGGGGAAGGGGGGGTCGGGGGGTAAAAGGGGGATAAAAAAGCAACAAAAAAGCCCCAGGCGAGCACGGATGAGATGGAGGGATGGATGGGGGGGGGACACGGGACCCTCCAGGGAAATGGGGGGGGTCTGGGGGGGGGAAAAGTGGGGTTTGAGGGGAAAGGGCATTTGGAGGGAGCATGGGATCCCCCTGGGAAAGGGGGAGTTTGGGGGGAAAAGGGGGGTTTGGGAAAGAAAAAGGGATTTGGGGGAGGGAAAGGGGGATTTGGGGGGGAAAGGGGGATTTGGAGGGGAAAGGGGTGTCCCCAGAGTGGGGAGGGGTCCCGGGGGGGTCCCCAGGGTGGGGAAGGTTCCCAGGAGTCCCAGGGGGGTCCCCAGGGTGCCCCCCCTCACCTTTCTCCAGGATGTCCTCAGCTCCATCCTCCCACTGATCTTCATCCTCGTACTCATCGTCCACATCTGGAGGGGTTGAGGGGGGTCAGTGGGGTGGGCAGAGACGCCCCAAGCCCTCCTGGAGCCCCCAGATCCCCCCAAACCCCCCAGATCCCTCCTGATTCCCCCAAACCACCCCTGAACCCCCTCAAGGCCCCCCCAGATCCCCCCTCACCGGCCTCGTCCAGGATGAACCCCCCGTGCCGCGGTTTCTTGGCGGGCCGATCATCATCTTCCTCCTCCTCCTCCTCCTCGTCGTACTCCTCCTCCTCTTCCTCCTCCTCCTCCTCCTCCTCTCCCTCCTCCTCCTCCTTCCCGCTGCCCCCGCGCTGCTCCTCGGCCTGAGAGGGATTTGGGGGGCTCAGGGGACCCCCAAAGCCCCCCAGCCTTCGGCCTTGCCTCGCCTTCCTCCCCCTCGCTGCTCCTTGGCCTGGGCGGCTCAGGGGGAGTCAGGGGGGTTTGGGGGAGTCAGGGGGAGCTCGGGGGGCTCAGGAGACCCCCGAACACCCTGAGCCTTTGGCCTCACCTCGCCCTCCTCGCCCTCCTCCCCCTCGCTGCTCCGCTCGCTCTCGTCCTCCGAGAAGTTGCTGTCGTCGCTGTCCGACATGTTTGGGGGTCCCGGGAGGTCTAGGGGGGCTTCAAAGGGGCTGAGGGGGGGCCCTGGAGCAGTCAAGAGAGTGTTCTGAGGGGAGCTGGGGGTGGTCCTGAGGGGGTCACGGGGGGGTCCCGGGTGGTCCCGGGGTGGGTCTGGGGTTACCCCGGGGTTATCTCGGAGGTGTCCCGGGTTATCCCGGTGGATCCCGGGTGGTCCCACCGCCCCCCTCTCACCCTCAGGCTCCGCTCGCTCTGAGGCCGCGACCCGGCCTGGCTCCGCCGGGGCCTGTTCCTGTCCGTGCGCCGCTCCCGGCTGTCAGTCTGTGACCCGCTGCCGTTCCCGGTGTCCCTCCCGGTCCCTTTCCCGGTCTCTGTCGCGGTTCCTGCCGCGATTCCCGGGCTGGGCCCGAGCTCCCTCCGGGTCCCCTCACGGCCCCTTCCTCTCGCGAGATTTCCCGCCCTCCCTCTCGCGAGATCTCGCGCGACGGCGGCGCGGCGGGACCAAAAAAAAGGGGAGCGTTTAACGCGATTTTGTGACGTCCTCGGGATCACGACGTCACTGATGGGCCCCGTGACGTCACGGAGCACACACCCCCCCCGCCCCCTGACACCCCCTCCCAGACACGTCCCAACCCTCTGGGATCCCCCTGTGCACACAAAGGAACCAATGTCACAAAAAAATCAATTTATTTAACAAAACATAAGAGTTTCACCCCAAAACTTGGGGGTCCATCCCAAAATTACCCCTTATCCCCGCAATTATCCCCTCCCCGGAGGGTCACCCCCCCACCCCATCATTGGGATCCCCTTGGACACACTCAGACCCCCTCGACACCCCTGGAGACTCCTGGGGGGGCTTGGGGGGTGTCCAGGACCCCCGTGGAGACCCTTCAAAATCACCCCCCCAGTCAAACCCCAAAACCAGCCCCCCCCCTCAGAACAGGGGTCAGACCCCAAACCCCCTCCCAGACTCAGACCTCCCAGGACCCCCCTCAGTTTCTGCCTTTAACCCCCCAAAACTCCCTCTGGGGGGGTCCAAGATCCCTCTGAAGGCCCCTAAGCCCCCCCCAACCCCTTCAGACCCCCAACCAACACCAGGGCCCCCCAGCAGAACACCCAACTCCTGCCCAGACCCCCAAACCCCAGAAACCCCTCCTTAACCCCCCCAAAGCCCTCCTGTCCTGACCCCCTTGGGGACCCCCAGGGGGAACCCCCGTGCCCCTCCCGCAGCCCCAGCCCCACGAGTGCCTCTCCCAGAGCCCAACCCACCCCCAAAACCCCCTTTAACCCCCTCACCCCCCTCCCCAGCCATGTTTTGGGGCATCCCCGGGGGTCCCGGTCCCTCAGGGCCCCCCCGGGGGGGGCAGCTTGCCCGTGATCTTGTTGGCCCCCTCGAGGAGGGCGTTGTGGATGTCCTTGGCCCCCCCGATCTGGGCCTTGATGAGGGGCAGGTACTGGGTGTAGGGCAGGGGGGGCTCCCCGGGACCACCCCCCCCCCTCGCCCTTGGGGGCCGCCGGGACCAGGGCGGGGGCGTGTTTGGCGCTGTCGAAGCTCTGGGAGAGGCACTCGTGGGCCAGGCGCTGGGGGGGACACGGGGGGGTCACCCGGGGGTCCCTGGGAGGGTCCCCGAGCTGAGACTGGGGGAGTTTCGGGGGATTTGGGGAGGTTTGGGGGGGTTTTGGGAGAGTCACTCTTGGGCCAGGCGCTGGGGGGGCACAGGGGGTCATCTGGGGGTGGTCCCCAGGGTGGGACAGAGGGGGTTTGGGGGCGTTAATGTGGGGTTTGGGAGGTGGGTTTGGCTCTGGGAGAGGCACTCGTGGGGATGGGGGGGGACACGGGGGGGTCATTGGGGGGTCCCCAAATTGGTACTGGGGGGGGTTGGGGGAAATTGGGGGAGTTACGAGGGAGGGGAGTTTGGGGCTGTTTTTGTGGTAATTTGGGGTGGTTTTGGGGTATTTTTGGGTGGTTTTGGGGGGTCTCTCACCAGGCACAGCTCCAGTTGGTCACAGAGAGCATAAAACTCCTCCAGGCTCTTGTCGAAGCGCTGCAGGGCCCCGTCCGCGCTCTTCCTGAGGGAACCGGTCAGACTGGGGGGCACTGGGAGGGACTGGGGGGAGCTGGGGGGGACTGGGATGTACTGGGATGGTACCGGGACGGTACTGGGGTGGTACTGGGAGGCACTGGGAGGCACTGGTCACTCACTGGCCGCTGTCGATGCTGCAGTTCTGCATCAGGTTTTGCGCCGCCACCTTCATCAGGCTCTGAGGGGGTCGGGGGTGAGGGGGGGACCCCAAAACTTGGGGAGACCCCCCCCAGGGGACACGCCCCCTCAGGGGACACGCCCCCTCTCAATGACAAACCCCGCCCCTTTCCCACACAAACCACGCCCCCTCGGTATCGGACCACGCCCCATTCACATCAAGTCTCGCCCCCTCAGGCACCGCCCACCTGCAGATCGCGCCCCTCCACGCCCCGCCCCTTATTTAAACCCCGCCCACCTGCAGGCTCTCCTTCAGCTGCGGCAGCAGGACCCGGAAGCGCTGCACGGGCTCGAAGTCCTGCTGCGCCTGCGCGGCCTGCGCGGGGAGCGCGGGGCCCGGAGCGGCCCCGACCGTTGGGGGGGGTCCCGGCCCCGCTCCTGCCGCCGCTGCGGGTCCCGCTCCCGCTCCGGGCGGCCCCGCGGGAGGTGCGGGGGGAGGCCCAGGGCCGGGCCCAGGCTGAGGCGGCGGCGCCGCCATTGTCGTCCCCGGGGCCGCTCCACTTCCGGCGCGCGGCGCGGCGGGCAGTGACGTCGCTGGGAGCGCGCCGGAAGTGGCGGTGCGAAGATGGCGCCCACCATCCAGACGCAGGCGCAGCGCGACGAGCCGGGGCACCGGTAACGGCCGTGACGTCACCGTCGTGACGTCATGGGGCAGTACCGTGACGTCACGCGGAGCGCGGGAGCCCCTCCGCGAGGTTTGGGGGGTTGCCTGTGACGTCACGACGCCAATATACAGGGAGGAATGGGGGGTCCCCGTTGTGACGTAACGGCGCGCGCGGGGATGGGTAGGGGTCACTCGTGTCGTCATATTACACTGATTTGTCGTCACGTGGAGCGGGGGGAGTCCCCGGGGGTTTGGGTGGGCTGGGGGTCCTCTGTGACGTCACGGCGCCGCTATTTGGGGAGGAAAGGGGGTCCTGTTCTGACGCCATTTCTATGGGGATGGTCGCTCGTGACGTCATAACCCTCCACCACCACTCCTGTGCCCCCTCCAGGCCCAGCTCGCACCGGACCCTCCCCGAGAGGTGAGTGGGGGGCGGGGGTGGGGGTTTGGGGAAAAGCCCCCTCCTCGATTTTGGGGGTAATTTGGAGCCCCCCCCCGGTTTTGGGGGGTCTCTGACCCCCCCGTGTCCCCCCCAGGTCGGGGGTCGTGTGCAGGGTGAAGTTCTGTAACGGGCTCCCCGACATCCCCTTCGACCCCAAGTTCATCACCTACCCCTTCGACCAGAGCAGGTTTGGGGAGTCCCCAAAAATGGGGGGCCCGGGGGGGGCTGGGCTGGGCTGGGGGGTTGGGGAGTCATCTTGGGGTGCTCAAGGTGTTGGGTGTGTTTTGGGGGATGTTTTTGGGGATGTTTATGGGGGTATTTTTGGGGATATTTCCAGGGCGATTTGGGGGG